TATATATATATATATATATATATATATATATATATATATATATATATATATATTTTGTACATAAATATATATAATATATACAAGGTATCTGATGATAAATGTTCCGTATCTCGCATATATATAAATTAATTTAACTTTTAACTTTCTCTTTCTCTCTCTCTCTCTCTTTCTCTTTTAACAATTTAACTTTATATCCTGTATAGATTAGATCAAACTAAACACAAAATTTCTCTACTATTTCGCAAACCACATAAAATTTTGAGTTATTAATTAAAGAAGATTCGCAAATAATCACGTGGAGTACGGCAGATGAGTTGTGATAGCGACGTCTGTCGTTGTATGCTTGCAGATTAAGTCAAACTGGACAATTCATCTGTATATCACGTATGATTATTCGCCAAGCTTCTTTAATTAATAACTCAAAATTTTATGTGGCTATTTGCAAAATAGTAGAGGAACTTTGTGTACAGTTTGATCTAATTTACATGTATATGAGATATAGGACATTTATCGCCAGACATACTATATAATAAAAATTATAATTAATTATTGCAATTAAAAGTTTATATATATATATATATATATCTTAAGTTTATATGCAATTGTAAATAAAAAAAATTCCAGTGTGCGATGGCCGGGAATCGAACCCGGATCAACTGCTTGGAAGGCAACTATGCTAACCATTACACCACCATCGCACGTTGAGGTTCCCATCCTACTTTATACCTGATACATTATGCGGAATGTATGTACAGAATATTAAAGAGATTGCATGTGGTCTTATTTGAAAGTGGGGAACTGGTTTTCACAATTATCGTCAGGCACGATAGATAAGAATTACATCTGGCACAAATCGCGCAAATGTACCAACGTGCGATGGTGGTGTAATGGTTAGCATAGTTGCCTTCCAAGCAGTTGATCCGGGTTCGATTCCCGGCCATCGCACACTCGATTTTTTTTCTTCCACAATACTGTTTTTTTTTTTTTATAATCAGCAAGTATTATAAATAACGCCAATAAATTATTCTTATGTGCGATTAATTTTTCATGTCCATATGCTTAGGTGATAGTCATGCTTCGTTGTCAAGCGCGGATCAAGGCACTCCTAGACATAAGCAACAGTCACGTCTTCAATCGACACGACAAGACGCACCAGGATCTCCTGATCAGCTACACGTGGAAAGGTCTCTTCCATCATGCGGCCTATCAGAGTTTCGGGGCAATTGCGGTGTTTTGTTGGGGCTTCACTCCCATCGCCGATCTGATCGCCGGCCGCTCGCGCAGACTACCGATGGAGGGATGGTATCCTTACAACGTGACGAGAACGCCGGCCTTCGAGATCACTGCAGGACATCAGGGTGTCGCAATCATAATCGCATGCTTCCACAATGTAGCGATGGACACGCTGATCACCGGTCTGATCACGGTCGCTTGTTGTCAGCTTGCGATTTTGAAGCGAAACATTATCTCGATAGATAACGAGAAAAATATTCACAGCGCGTCAAATGTCAAGGGAGAGTCGGGCGAGATTGCAGAGAAAGATCATCTGTCTTATCAACAACTCAAGCGAAACGCTGTACACAGTAATATGATATTTTAGTAAGATATCTAAGAGAATATAAAATCCGACATTCACACGTTGATATAACAAGAATCAACCATTCGTTCGCATTTTTACAAGATTTTAACTCTATTACAATTAATTGCATTGATTCGCAGTTTCACGAGGGAAATCCAGGACATTTTCGGCACCGTGATCTTTCTTCAATTTCTTTCCAATTGTGTGATCATCTGTCTGATTGCTTTTAATGTATCGCAGGTGAAGAGCTCGACTCGTCGTGTATCGATTATGTTTCATATGTAACTGGGTTATCTGTGCCGCAGATGAAGGAGTATGTTCCGGCGGTGCTGATTGGCATGCTGACGTATATGTGTTGTATGACATATCAGATATTTATCTTCTGTTGGCATGGTAATGAATTGCATCTCCATGTGAGTACAGTCAATTGCAACACGCTTAGATTCTAAAAATATTCAATACATTTCCATTCTACATAAAATGATTTTTCTTTTTCATACAGAAACCAGCGATAATAAATGAGTTCTATTCAGTAACACAAGTTGAATATCATTCTGTTTTTATTCCATATCCAGTGAGCAGAAGCTCTCAAATCGACGCATTACTATCTTTAAGATACCATTAAGAGATCATAAAGAATCTGTAAGATCATAAAGAATCTGTTTCTTTATGATCTTTTAATATCTTAAAGATGACTAATGCCATCTTTAAGATGTCGATTTGAGAGCTTCTGCTCACTGGGTATCCAATGAGTAACAGAGATAGAATGATACTTATATCGACAATGTTACTAAATGGAAAGCATTTAATATATAGTGACTATTTTCTACGCACGTATATATACGTATATATACGTATGTATAAATGAAAATTGTAGTAACTTCAATAATATTGAGTTTTGTAATAAGCAATTTCGAATTTTTCACGTAAAATATAACATTTATATTTTTATATCATTATAATTTTATAAAACAATGCGTGCGCTGTGTTTTGAGAAATCTATGATTTTCCATTCTTTTTATTGTTTCATAAAATTATAATATCATAAATTGCAATTCTTTTATTTTACCTGAAAGATCCAGAATTAATTTATTACACAATCGAATATAAGCTATTATGGCTGTGCGCTATGAAGAAAATGTGAGATTTGACATATACATTTGACGCCAATCTGTATGAAAATTGGCTAAAATTGGCCAATCTGTATGAAAATTGGCTACGTAGCACAGACATATGACACTGCTGGCGAATGTATTAAATTGACCTTCCTGTACAGAGGAGAAATATGTATAATTTTCAGAGCTTACGCATAGTCACAGCAGCTTACTCGAGCAAATGGTTCTCGGGAACGGAAGGATTCAAGCGTGGATTACAAATTATGATGACAAGGGCTCAACGTCCGTTCACTCTAAGCGCCGGCAACATCATGTTGCTCTCATTGGACACTTTCGTACAGGTTCACAGTTTATCGGAAAAATTGTAGTTGAAACAGCTTCTACGTTTACTGTGAATCATTTAATAATTTGTCAGTTTTTTATTAAAATCCGTGTAGGCTCAAAATCGAGCAGATGGTTTTGAGACTGTTTTGACAATTTTGTATATTTAGAAGCGATATGTCGAAATACCTATGACGAAACTAACGGTTTCCGTGTGTTTCAGATACTACGGACGTCCTACTCGATTTTTACGGTACTTCAAAGTACAGCCGCCTAAATAAATTCGTCGTTAATATCGAATTTCGTAGATATCCTTATCGGATCACATAGCTTTTCTTATATCCTAAAAAAAGAGCTCGGAACAATTACCAACAGTTTTGCTTTATTCGGCATTAAATTGCTATATGTATAAAAATATATATAACTTTTTGTATATAATATTATTTGCGCCTATACAATCTCATGGCTCACAGTGAACAAAAAAATGACAAAAAATATTATTGACATCATAATACCACTTAACATCGATCACTGCGATGAGATTATTTTAATGATCAACAATAATTTTATATATGGGCAGAATAAATGCTGCAAACCATTACTGCATTGATTTTGTTCATATAACAAATATCACGACTTAATTTTGGCAGTCTTAATAATTACAGTGTCTCTACCATCAAGGCAATGCCCTGGCCGCCGCCAATGCATGCCGAGCCAATACCTAGTTTCCCAGCCTTTCGTCTCCTGTAAAAAACAAACGCAGATACGTTTAAGTACTGATATAGGAAAAAATGTGGTCATTTTTTTGGTGGCGTTATAAGAGGGACATACTTAAGTTCGTGCACCAAATGAGCGGTGATTCTACTACCGCTAGCGGCTAATGGATGTCCCAGAGCAATGGCTCCGCCATTCACGTTTAATTTGTTCAAGTCTAGATTAAGTTCCTTTGCGCAAGCCAGAGTTTGAGCTCCAAATGCCTCGTTGATCTATTGGAAATGAGACAATCGACATGCGCACATGTCGAAAGAAAATAAAAAATCTAATCTTCCGTGTCATTTATTTTTTATGCATTTTCGCGTTAAAAGTGCCATTTTGCGAAGCACATCTTTTGCTACGTAGATATGAATCCTACCTCCACTAGTTCTATGTCGTTAAGAGATTTGCCTGTAATTTTGAGCAAGTTCTTGATTGCTGGTGCAGGTCCAATTCCCATAATACTTGGATCCACGCCGACGATGGAATATCCTATTAAACGTGCCAATGGTTTTAATCCTTCTGTCTTGACGGCTTCTTCGCTAGCTAGAATAACAGCGCCTGCTCCGTCACAGATACCCTACGAGGAAACGAGAATAAAGTTAATTACTTATAAAACTATATAAATGATATAATATACATACACTGCATTAGTTTTGTTCGTATAACTTCCAAGACGAACTATTCAACATTTAATAAAACAACAAATAATTAATACAATCTATCTGAATTATATAATCCGATTAGAAGTTTGAAAGAATTGTAGATTAGATTAAGCTAAAATTAGTTCATTTATATCTGTAACTTAAAAAAAACACATACCGATGCGCTACCAGCCGTGACTAATCCATCTTTTTGGAAAACTGGTTTCAATTTAGCAAGGCTCTCGAGTGTCGTTTGCGGACGTGGATGTTCGTCTACCGTAACAGTTACATCTTGCTTTTTAACTTTCACTTGAATAGGTGCTATTTCTTCTTTGAAACGGCCCGCATCATTGGCTGTAACATATGTACTTTTTCAATAAATCTCGAATAATATACAGAGACCTATCACTTTAAATTTATTTAATTAAAAGAAAAAGAAACGATTTAATGAATAAGAAATTTTTATCTAATATCTAGCTGATACAATTTTGTAGGATAATATACTCAGAATTGCAAAAACATCAATTTTTTCTTAATTATATTCCAATTCAATGAACAATTGATTGTAGTAAAATCAATCGAAGAATGTTTAATTGACGATTGATATGAGCAGAGAATAAAAAATTATTTAATTAACAATTAAACTTAGCAAATCTAATCAAAGAACACCCCAAAAATGGTTTAACCCTTTGGGGACGAGTGTCGGCATATAGCCGCCCAAGCCGTTTTACCGTTCCGGACGCGTGTCGGCATATAGCCGCCCAAATTAGTTCGTAGCTGCAAGGCTCGCGACGTCTGTCGTTCTGAGCGATAAGATACGCATAGGTATAGTAAAAGAGTCACGTTTTCATTTAAAGACATTAGGGGCCATTAGCGATGAAGTCTTATCTTCCTTATAGCCCGTCGAGCGGCTCCGTCCCCAAAGGGTTAATTGATCATTGAAAATTTAGTAATTTAGTTGAAGATCGTTTAAGTGATGATTGATATGAGTAAATTCAATCAACGTGTGTTCGATTATTCAAGGTTACAATATAGATAATATTCATACCGTAGCATCGTAGCAGATGCCGATAATGGAGAAGTGTCAAGTAGGATCGGTATTGATTACACACATATATCAATCTTCGCCAATCTCAGATTGAATCGGTTGAATTTGCTCATATCAATATAATCAAGCAATTAAACGGCTTTTCAAGACTTAAATTTGTCAAGTTTAATTATTAATTGAACGATCATTCATTTCTGTCATTCATATCAATCCTCAATAGATCAGTCTTTAGTTGAATAAAGTAGTTAGGTTAAAATCAATTGTCAGTTGAACGGTTTTTCGATTGAACTTGTTGAAATGAATTGTCAATTAAACGGTTGAGTAGAATTAAATCCACATTAATTGTCAACTGGACACAATAATTATTTAAAAATGTAATTAGTTACTCATAATTCTAAATATATTATAGATTTATACCAGCTTTCCAGCGTTGTTGACTGTTCAAGGCGAATTGGTCAACTTCTTCCCTCTTCAAGTTATATTTGGCACCCAGTTTCTCCGCAGTCATACCCATAGGTAAATTGCAATAAGTATCGAATAATCCGAGCCAGAGTGAATCTTCAAATTCGTACTTCTGTCCCAGAACAGTTCCAAAACGAATGCCTCTCACAACAAAAGGAGCTTGGCTCATGTTCTCTGTACCTCCTGTTAAGACGATTTTTGAATCTCCTGCTAAAATACTCTGTAACAAAGAATTCATATATTAGTATCTCTGGCAAAAAACGTTTATAGAAAACGATAGAATACTATTCACATTTGTGAATTCATAATCCATATTCAAAAAGATAGAAAATAATTATTTTATTCTATCGTTCTCTATAAACTTTTTTTTACTAGGGACATTTGTGACCTGTGTATTCTGCAAATTTCTCAGAATTATGTATTAATCTTTCAATATAAAATATGCGAAATTTTATAAATTATACGTACATTAAGCTACTTACAATATGAATGTGTATGTATATGTGTGTGTATATGGGCATGTGTGATATTTGTTCTATTTTTCAATCTTTTTACTACATCTATTTGACCAACCTGAGCCCCATTTACTATTGATTGGAAACCAGAACCACATAATCTGTTCACACTGTACGCAGGTTTATCAACTGGGATTCCAGATTTCAGTAAAACATGTCTTGCTAGGAAAGTTCCATCAGAGGATGAGTTCTGCATAAGACAGAAATTAAATAAAGATATATCATATTTTTGCAAGAATTTTTGAAAGTATCTAATTAAATAATAATAACATTACACATTGTGTGTAATAATTTCCTACTTAATATTGTAAGTACATTACAATATATGTTGTACATAAGTTATATCGTTGAATAGGATATTACAGCATTGATGTAATACACTTACTGCCATGATATGTCCAAATACAGCACTATCAATCTTCTCTGGGTGTATACCTGCTGCCTGCATTGCAGCAGTTGATGCAGTTACTGACAATTCTGTTGCATTTGTGTTCACAAATATACCTCCCATTGTGCCAAATGGGGTACGCTTAGCAGCGATAATATAAACACCTGAAAGAATTTCAATTAGGCAAGCTGTGTACAAAAGATTGAGCAGTTAAGTTCATTTTCTCTATTTTTTTATATCTCAACTATTTAATCAGTTTACTTTTATATTTTACTAGGATACAATTTTAATAGAAATTGGAGAAAACTTGAGATATATGCATGATATTGAAAAGAAATAACATTAAAATTTGAATTCTTATCAACATACTCATATATATGCAAACTTTTACTGCTGTTAAAAATATGTAACAAAAGCTTACCATGTAAAATAGCAATTTGTAATTTTTTACTTTCTATTCTATTTGAATATTTTATATTTTATTCTATTTGAATATTTTATATTGACAATGAGTTCTCAACGAAGATGACATTAGAATATCTATCTTTGATTTTTCTCCTTCCAATACTCCATTCACTTGTATTTTGAATATTTAAAAAATAGCATATCTAACATTCTAATTTTTTGTGGTAGAAAAATGTGCAACATCCACATTGTGCAGAATATTCCTCGCAAACATAAGATAATTTGGTAACTTCCACGCATGAACATATCAACATTTGATATATTCACATCCGACTAAGTTCAGGATACCTATTATGGATTTTTTCGGAATCAATTCCGATCGAAAACATTCAGTTATTTCCTAGATTTCTATTGTCTTTTCTAGGGGAAACGCAATTATTCCGATCGGAATTGATTCCGAAGAAGTCCATGATAGGTACCCAGAGCGCACATATACATGGGCACGTTGTGTGAATTATCCCCTCTCAATACTACCGGTGCTACTGGGCGAAATTTCTGGCGACACTGTTGAACTAGTGCGATATATTAAAGTGAGACAAGTATACGTTTTCTCACTCTAACTTATTGCACTAGTTCAGCAGTGCAGCTACAAAGAACAAGGTACCTATTATGGACTTCTTCGGAATCAATTCCGATCGGAATAATTCCGTTTTCTCTAGAAAAGACAATAGAAATCTAGGAAATAACTGAATGTTTCCGATCGGAATTGATTCCAAAGAAGTCCATAATAGATACCCAGGCCTCTGATCTAGGCTGCGTTCGCTTTGGATGCTTACGCGCTGTAAGCGTCATTTTATCTTTATTGCTCATTACATGCGGGAAGAAGATAGAATGACACTTACAGCATATAAGCACCCAAGGCGAACACAGCCTTAATCTCTTAACTGGATGATTTGCACTTTTTGCATCGGTTTATAACATCTTTTTTGTGACGCTTTTGGCATTAACATGTCTTTACTTTTTGACTACACTTCATACTTTCTTTTTTTCTCTCTTAAAATGTGCAAATTACACTTAAATATACATTTGCTTTTTATTACAAAAAAACAAGTGCATTTAAAAATAACCTATTTCAATACGTATTATGTTTGTCTTATAAGGTTGCATTCTAAAATATCTTTTTCGAGGAAAATTTTACTCTTAAATCTATAGTTCATGTAACATATACTATAGACTTAAGAGTAAAATTTTCCTCGGAGAGGACGTTTTGGAATGCAACCTAGATAGTAATGATTCATAAAATTCGTGAATACTATACAATTTACGTGGAAAAATAATTTTCGAACGAAAAGTATATATAAAAAAATGTTTTACCTTTCGTCAAGGCAGACATTGTGATGAATCACGTTTGGATACTGTACACAGCAATTGATCATAAACTGACGATATAATCACTCAACCACGGTCAAAGTCAACTTCACGACGTCTGAGGTACCGACGTGGTATTTATCATGGAGGGTGTTTGTGGAGGGGCAAAGAATATACCGCGAAACTTTTAATGGTATGTCAGCAGTATCTCTTTTTAAGTTCATCACATTGTTATCATTCTTTTATCGTAAATTTACGTAAATGCGCATGTTTATGTACGATAACTTAAATCATTTATTCATACTCTACTATTCACTCATTCGTTTTCTATTAAATATCTTTTTTAATAAGCACTAAAATATTCAATTTATATGCCCATTTCAGAAAACATATTCAGAGGATTTAATCGTTACCTTGAACAAGAAAATGGATACTCATAGAAAAACATTTGAGAAGATACAGCAAACACTTTAGCAAACTCAGATAAAAGCGTCGCTTTCCCAACAAAAAGCATAATATCAAAGTCGCAATTGCTTTGAGATTATATTCAATCGTATAATTAACATTTAAATGTACACACTTGTTGAAGTGTAATTAACGTTTAACATCAACAACATCCCTCATTGTATGAGCAATGTAAACTTTCTGTTTTATTTATTTATACTACACAACATTTATTAATAATCACCCAGCTATATGTCACAATAACTCAAACACAATCTATTTAAATTGAAAATTATGTGAATCATATAATATATTCTCTTCTCAATTCCTTTGTATCAATAAATGCATTAGCAGTTATTTTATGATACATAAGTGTATTTCAGTTAAGATGAGTTTCAAGTAATAACTATTAATACAATCCTATAAGACTTCAATTGGTCTACTCATACTGCAACCACTCAGTGAACTCTTGGATCTGGTTGGTACTATTTATACTTTTAGATTTCATTTAAATTTAAATATAAACCAATTAGAATTAGCAATTGTAATATTGGATATATTTATAATAGACATTTGAAATTTTTGTTCCTCATGAGATACTCAAATCTGAATTTAGACAATTTAGATCTGAATTGAGTTTTCTATTTGAATCATAACTCAGATAATGGAAGCTTCTAAAAAATATCTTAAAGAGTGTCCTATTTCTTTTATATATTTTTAAAATGTCTTTTAAAAGTTTATGCTGCTTGTTTATATATATGACCTTACATTTATAACTATAATTCAGCTGAAAAACTTTTATCTGACTCTAAATTCAAATTTGAATATTTCACTTAATGCAATTTTCAATAACGATTATTAATATAGGCCTTAATTTAATTAAAATGTAATATAAAACAAATCAGTAATGTAATATATTGTGTTATGTACTGATATTAAATTTAAAATCGTTCCTCAAATAGCGGCGATATTATATCGATATTTTTAATATCAGGATTTTCAGGATAAATTAAAAAATGTCTTATAACCCATTGTCGAGTTATATTATGTCTTCGATACAATACAGAAAAAATTATTAGCTAGATGCTGTTTGTAGCCATCACAACCTCGATTCCGTTTCTTCTTGTTGGAGTGGCCGGGAATTCACCTCATTCCACTAGTATTCGATTCCTCTTCTTCTTCTTGTTGAAATGGCCGTGAATCGTATAACCTCGATTCCTCGTTAAAGAAAGTGGCGGCTCATAGCGGAGACTTTGGAACTAACTTATAAAAATAATGAGTTGAAGGGTGCAATCCACTAGGCGCTACAAACGCTTTGAAAGGCTCAAAAAGAAGCCATGACAACGCTTCAAAAGATTTGTAGCGTCTAGTGGATTGAATTTGTTATTTCCATAAATTAGTTCCAAAGGCCCATATTCTGAATCTTCTTTTATTTATAAAAATGCTTCTAAAAGAGACTTAGGAGCCACCTGATTGGCTGAAAAGCTACATTTAAGGCACTTTTATCGATAAAAGAGGATTCAGAATATGCTAAAGAATGGGCTAAAATCTCCGCCACGAGTCGCCACTTTCTTAACAAGGAATCGAGGTAGTGATGGCTATAAACAACATTTAGCTAATAATTTTTCTGTATTATATTGAGCAATTTAGCAATAGATAATATGTTTTTCTCATCCTGAAAAATATATAGACTATGTATAACAAAGATAGAATAAAGCCAGCGATGCTTGTTTTCGTACTAGATTGCTTGCTAGATGTAAATACTCTGTTTTGATTGGTGCGTTTCCATCCATCTTCAGGAATTGTTAGATAAATATTAATCTTTCTTGTTGTTTATTTTTATTTAAACAGTCCCGTTCAATAAGCAACGCATTTTTTTAAATAAAAAAATGCTGCTAGCATTGAATACTGAAGTCAGATCATAAGAAGCATGTATTATTTCTAGCAGAACAATCACCGCCAGGTACGGGCAAATAATTTGTCAATGTTTAAACTTATATTTCACTACAAAAAAGTCGTAAGAAATAATCGTAATCGCGATTTTCGCAATTCTATAAGACTTTTGCAAATTGGCCTTGGATTATCTGCAAAAGGATCCAAATGTTAAAGTGTACAATGTTGCTGCTCGTGAGTAGTTGATTGTTGCTACTTTCAAAATGACGCAGACCAACAATTTCAACATATCATGCACTAAAAGTATTAGAATTTTCTAAACATACGCAATATATATTTGTTATTTATTGATTATTTAAAAAAGCGAAAACGATGTATTAGAGTAATATATTTACCAGTGATAACTTTACGTTCATGTTAAAAAATAAATTTGTATGTAAATAGAAAATATTAATAACTATTAAATTCTTTCTAATATTTCTTTTATTAATAAAAGTGCCTTTCAATGTCTTATGAGCCGATAAGGAAGCTTATAAGCCATATTTAGAGGCAATGTTATCAAGAATTTACAAAGAGATGACCTATTTCCCAGTCTATTTTAAACAAAATACTTCATTAAATTAATGTCGTGTATAAATGGATTTACGTAAGTTTACGATAAAAAACGATAACAAGTAAGTGATAAACGTAAGTAAAAATACGAAAATATATTTAAGTGTATATTTTATGTACTACCTAAACTTTTTCGCGTGGTGAGTAAATGGCCATTATTTTCTGAGTTTTTTTACGTCTATTATATTCGACAATTTTTTACACGATTTAAATAGTGTTGAGATCAGTAATTTCTATCGATACATCATATATATTTCGCGATATACCATGCTGAGCACAGATTCTGTGAACTTTCCACATATGCTTTCTTTTTCACATCAACTTTCTTTTTCATCACTTTAAAGTTTGAGTACACATTTATTTCATTTTGAATACTGATTATATTAGAGTGTAATTAAACAAATTACACAGAATATACAGAATAATTAGGTCGTTCAATGTTTTATAACACAGGGTGTCTGATAATTCATGACACACTCGTATGCAAGTAGAACTCAAACTGAACAAAAAATTCCTCTGCCATTTCATAAATAACCATGTAGATTTTTAGTTATTAATTAAAGAAGATTGGCATATAATGATGTGTAATTATGTGATAATGCGCAACTAAATATTTTTAATTAATAACTATAAATCTACATAGTCTTTTGTAAAATGCTACAGAACTGTTTTGTTCAGATTGATCTAATATAAAAACATAATACAACAGATATTGCCATCGCAGTTCATCTATTGTATAGCGTGTGATCATTTCTTCAATCTTCTTTAATTAATAACTTAAACTTCAACACTTCAATTTCAAACTTGGTTGTTTGCAAAATGGTAGAAAAATCTAATTGTATTCAGTTTGACAAATTCTATGTACATACAATGGGTGTGTCAAACTCAGACACCCTGTATATTTGTTTCTCTACACATTAATTAATATATAATATAAACTTTAAATAATGAAATAGCCGTGAAAATATCACTTACCTGATAATTTCTCTTTAACAAAAACTTTTATAATTCAAAATTTGTTAATAAATTTCTGACGTTATATATAATATAATAATTATATAAACAATACTCTCTTCATGTGTACTTAGACTTCTATTTCCGAGTGACACTTTATTATTTGCTATAACTATAAATAAGCTCACATTATTTAATATTTACAGTAGTTGTTACTTGCTGCAGTAATTTCGTAGCTTTATGTGATTTGATCAATATCTTGAGATATTTGAAATTAAATTGGAATTACATGTGGGAAAAGTGATCAGTATCTGATTATGCTATTATATCATGAGATCGTGAACATTTAACACGTGTTTTTCATCGATAACTCACTAATACGTCCATTTGAAAATATAATTCTGAAACAATTATCGATATATATATATATATACTCTGATACATTTATCAATATAGTTACGAGTGTTATTAATGCGAAGTAGAAAGAGTTTCCACACAGTTGGCACATATCAGTTTTCTTTTTAAAGATGTAGACTTGCACGAAGAATAAATAAATTAAAAGTCGTGGCATTTGACTTTCTATTTTCCTTTTTTTTCATCCTATTGTTATAAATAGTTAACGCTGTTTCGCGCAGCACATAAATTATCACTACGGAAACTAGCGCTTGTCCACGCGAATATAAGGACAATCCTGTTGCACTCGCTTCTAATTCGCGTCTTAAATCCAAAAAAAAGAGAAGCTATGTATACATAAGACAATAAAGATCTAACGATAAGTCAAGTCTTTCCTTACATTTGAGTGAAGCGGCAAAAATAAAAATAAACAATCCGTTTACACTTATACTTAAAATAGGATGCTATAAAATAAATGGTGTAATAACAGCCAATTCTTAAATATTACTCCATTACAAAGATCACTCTTGATACTCGGCGACACCTGAATGCTTCGCGCTCACTAATCCCTGTGAAGAAGCACATCATCACGAGTTACATTTTTCACATCAACATACGCACGCAATGCGATGTACGTGCGCATGAATATGTCAGTTAGATTTCACTTACCTCCTCGAAAAATTTCTGCATTTCTTGCGCCGCTTGCACCGATGAGAAGACCGCTCTTAGTACTCTCCTCGCCGGCGGTTCCAAGGCGTAATCGATTCCGCTCCAGATGCATTCTTTTCCTTCCACCTATGCGACAGACAATGCAAGTGAGCAACAGCCACAAAATATACATAATTATCACCATAATTTCAGCACCACAAGTCTGGTTGAAAAGGAAGAAATTTATAACTTACAAGACTCTTTTGGATGCGAATATTTAGTGGCGTAAATAATTACCTCCATCACCGTTTCTATGCTGATAATAGTATTGCTCGCGTACTCCTCCGAATCGTCGAGTTTCAGAACGATCCTCTCCGCGTAGATCTCGGAATCGTAGTGGATCGCCAAGTTCCCCAAGCCCACGATTTCCCACTTGGTCTCGTGAGGCCACCTGGCGAACATGGTGGCGCGTTTCTCCATTATGGGCACCATCTCCTGATCGTCCTCCTCGTCCTCTTCCTCCTCATCATCTTCATCTTCCTCTTCGTCGTCTTCCTCTTCTTCTTCCTCGTCCACGTCGTTATCCCGGTCGTGTTCGTTCTCTTCCACTTCCTCGTTGACACACCTCTCACCTATAAGCATGCATAGATTGATATGGAGCTATATATCGTTTTAACGAGTCGCTTGAAGTCACATACGTACATTTCATGAAAAAGAACACAAGTGTGCCTACGGTGACGCTCTAGTTTTAAAGAATAACGCCATTCGATCCAGCTTTTAACAAGCACAATTTGGAAAATCAAACATAAAGATATGCGTAAGATGTATAATATATTTTTATTATGATCACATAAGATACATGTAGCACTTTAGATGCGTAAAATAACGAACACCTGTGATGCAAAGTTGTAAAGCGATAATTCATCAATACACAAGAGTGCTATGAAATACGTGAAAGCTTAAATCATATCTCCTCAGTTGCGTATTAAAATCTGACGCGTTTAATAAACAGTTTCGTACATACACGAACAGTTTAGCATTCATTTAACTTGCAGTGTAATTCTGTAACTCGTTGACTATCATAATTATATTATCGTTAGCGATAATATAATTAGTACTGTGTATCGTTGCGTACCTTTTCTAGCATACGTTATATCTGCGCAAGGTTAACAACCCGTTAGCAACAGTTAATGAGTTATAGAATCGCACTGCTGGCGGTTTAACATTCATTCAAATTCGCGTGATAGATAAATGAGTAACACTCTACTTACGGTCGTATTATAAATTCAAATGAAAGTCCAAACAACGCAGGCGAGATAACAAACCGAGCGATTTTGCGCGTTATATATCCATGATTAATATCAATTTTTCGTTGGAAGAGAAATGCATACATATAACATCGTGCAGATGGAGCAAGCGACGAATGAGGTCACAGTGGGATATACATGTGAGAGAAATCCATAATACCTAATGGATTATAAACTACCTTGAGCGTCTTCCTTCTCGCGTAATTCCTGCTGAATTTTATCGATGAGCCCCTTAAACTGCGTGGCCAGCTCGGGTGATTTAAATTTAATCGCTAACTGTTCGACGCACGATCCTTCCTCAGCGTGATTCATGCCGGCCCACATCCAGGCCTGCTGCGACATCGAGAGTCCATGGAACGCCACGTCCGATGTGATCAAGAAGTTGCACACGACTTTGTAAATCAGTTCCCGGCGCATTAATAGACGATAGCTGCCGTATCCGGGATGATGCAGGATCTTCATCTCACCGACGCCTCTCTCCTTCCACTCCTTCGTGGAGCTGTCATATCTGTACAGCTTGGCTCTCTGGCTAAACACTGCGAACGAATGATTATTAAAGTAAACTACGATTTTGCGATTTCTGCACGCGAATTGCTTGAAATCTATTTACTCTCATAACAATACATTTACGTTAGAGATATCATTAATATCAAATACTTTAAATATATCTTCTCACACGAAGTTGAAAAATGCTAAAATAAAATAATGAAGAAAAAAATAATCTGTCTAAAAGTATTTAAAGATCACTAAAGAGAGTCACTAAAAAAAAATATTTAAAGGTTATTAAAAAAATATCCAAAGATTGCTAAAGTTATTTCAAGGCTACTAAAGATGCTTAAAGATTATTTAAAAGTTATCAAAGATATATCTAAAGGTACCTGAAGAATATCAAAGATATTAAAGATTACCTTTTTCTTCATCTTCCTCCCCGGTTTTGACTTCGATGGCCTCTGGCAATGGAACAATGGGTTCGAAGTGAGGATCATGCTCCTGTTCGTTCTCTACCTCACCACCGTCGTCCTCCTCATTTTCGTCCTTCTGCATAGAATCTTCGTGCGTCGATTTATTTTGAGACGTTGAGGTCAGCGATTTGGCGGACTTTGAACCGAATACCGAAGATCCCGCGCCAGCGAACGAGAAGTTGGGATCTGAAAAGAAATGTCGAGCAATGTAAGTAGCGAGTCCTAATTTCAATACGCTTTTTTGCCATGATTTTATGACTTCGTAACGTACCTATCTTGAAAGCTTGCGGTTGCGCCGCGTTGGCAGCGAGTGCCGTGAACATGTTATCTGACGGGAGGAAGCTGTTGATGTCATCGTCATTTTGAGCATTGTCCGACGATTTCGTGTCGAAGACATTCGTAGTCGTTGTCGTCGTCGTCGCCGCCGTCACCGTCATCGTGACGGGATTACCGAACAAAGGACCACCGAACGTTATCTTTGAGAAGGGTGTGATTGAGCTTGTACTAAATATCGTATTGTTAGACTGATTGGACACGTCGAATGTAATTGTCGACGTGATGGCGGTGGACGCAGCGACGGTGTCGTTGGCCTTGGAACTCGGTTGCACTGGCACCGAATCGAATAGCGAGCTGGTGCCGAAGGTGGTGGTCACATTGGTCGACGACGACGTCTTCGGGACGGAATTCGTCGTGGTAGTGGCGGCAACGGTGGTCGACTTCAAAGTGTTGAAGGTATTGGCGAACAACAGAGAGTTGCCGTCACCGCTGGCGCTTACGGTGTTTCCGCCGAACAAAGATCCCTTTGTACTCGCGAAATTGTCGGTGCCGCCGAACATATTCTTGCCGCTATCGAAGGTAAAAATGGGAGCTTTGAATATAGATCCAGTCGGCGTTGATTGATTAAATACCGACTGTCCGGTGGTCGTATTAGGAGCTGCGGTGGTAGTTTGCGCGGCCGGAAGATTCGAAGGACTGCACATCTTCATGTTCTCCAATAATAAGACAGTCTGCTGCTTGTCCGATGTCGCCGCTTTGTCCGTGGTCTCGTTGATGCCAAATTGGGGATTCATGCCAAAAGAAAAAGTCGTCGATCTCTTGTCGTTGAACAGCTTCAGGTCGCTGGTGCCGAAACTCATCGCGGAGCCGTCGAAGACGCTCGACGTGGCGAACGTTGGGGTCGACGTCGTCTTGAACGTCGTGACGGGCGGCATCGTGAAGGAGAATCCGTTCTTCACGTTGGACTGAGTCACTTGGCTGGTGGTCTCATTAGCTTTCACCTCAGCCGATGACGAAGGAGTCGTTATCAAGGCCGAGGGTTTCGGTCCTGCAGCAACATTTGTCGAACTTGGAGTCGTCAGCTTCTTTTCTTCCGGCACGGTCGTCCACTTATTCGGCTGCGTCGAAGAGACGTCCGGATAAAGAACTATACTCGGTTTTTTGCAGCCTCTGCAGCCCGGACAGTCCTCCTTAAGCTTGTAGGCGTAGAAATTCTCCGGCAGCTGTAACTTCAAGGCAGCTGCTTTTTCCTCTGGTGTAACTTTCATCTCATAAAGGACCTCGATCTCCTGGCTAGATGAGCTTGTCTTCATAGTCGCTTTCGTCATTGACTTGTTCGTTTTCTCATTGTTAGTAACGGCCAGTTTAATGCTTCCCTTGGCGTCGTCGATTGCGTTTTTGAAGCTCTCCGCTATTTCGGCAGTTTTGAAGCGACACGCAAACTGCATATACTCGATCTCACCCTCGCTGTAGTCCGCAGCGTTCCACAGCCACGTTTTCTCGTCCTTGGACGTAAACTCCAGTTCAGCGGACAGTATGTGATTCAGGCAGAGCTTCAGCACGTGGTCCCGCCGCATGATGAGCCGCAGCTTTCCGGTCTCTCTGTGGCGTAGCAGCTTGATGTCGCCCAATCCACGTTCTTTCCACTCCTTCACGCAAGTGTCGAACCTGAACAGCTTCGCTCGGTGACTGTACAATACTTCTTCGTTCTCTTCGCCGGTTTTCACCTCGATCTTGTCCGGCAACGGTATAATAGGTGAGAAATGAACGTCGTCGCTCTCCACCACCTCGTCCTCGCTGTTCTCACCGCCAGCGCTGCCGGGCGATTTCGAAGATGCTCGCGCCGTAAAGTTGAAGCCGTAAGACTTGGTTGGCGTGCCGAAGGTAAACGGCGAATCGCCCGAGTTCAGCGTGACGCCAGTTTTCGCTGGCACGCCGAATACGAAGCCGGTTTCCTCAGTTTTGGCCTGCGGAATCGTGGGAGTGATCTTTGCACTGTCATCCGCGCTCTTATCTTCCGATTTCGGCATTCGGAAGCTGAAGCCGGTAGTGCCACCGGTCGTCTCTTTGGCGGCATCTTTCGGAATGCCGAAGGTGAAGGTAGTCATTGGGGCTGTAGCGGAAATATTCAGTTGGAAGACATTCTGTTGCGGTTTGGGTGGTTGCGACGGATCCTTAGGCTGGTCGCAGGCAACGCAGTAGATATTCGTGCCGGAATTAACAATATAACATCCTGAACAGCTCCAAGAGCCAGCGGGTGGCTTGAATAATTCAGACAAAGGTGGTTTACTGGATTCCACGGCGGGTTTGTTAGCATCCACGGTAAGACCGTCCTTGTTGCTCGCGACTGAAGGCGACGGAGCTTCGCAAGCTACACATTTGACGTCCGTGACATTATTCCTGATGTAACAGCTATTGCATTCCCAAGAGTCGCTCGGAGGTTTAAACAGCTCCGACAAAGGAGGCTCAGACTTATCCGCGGTGTTCTGGCCCTTGATATCGCTTGAAGTCGGTCGGGAAGATGTCTTTTTTTCAAACTCTTTTGCGACCTCGCTCGGATTGCAACCCTTGAGGAGCTTCTGTTGGCAGCTGGATACAACATTGTAGAATTTTGAGGCCGACTCCGGTGTCTTGAAAGTCGCGGCGTGGAACAGCAGGATCTTGGCGCGTTCCTTCTTGGAGTCTATCGGGGCGGTCCAGTTGACAACCGTGGCGCCACTCTTAAACGTAAACGATGCATCCAGAGGGATTCCGTAGCCGTAGAGAACTTTGGAGTTGCCTTCGTCCATCATCAGCAAGCGTAGTTTGCCGGATTTGACATCTATTAGTAGCTTTACCGCTCCCGTGCCTTTATTCTCCCACTGCTTGGTGTCGCTGTTTTGACACTGGAGACTCGCACTCCCGCCGAACAGCTTACGCTCATTCTCAGTTTGTGGCTGTACTTCCTTCTCGTGGAGTCCCATTTTCATCATACCAGGTGGCGGCATACGAGGTCTCCTCAGCAGTGTGTTGAGAGAGGAATTCTGATCGAAAGTGACTCCATGCGTACTGAACGGCGACGTGCTAGACACTGTACCTTGACTCATCAGTTCGGACTGCGTAGTTGTAACTGGAGTCGCAGTCGTGGCGAAAACAAAACCCGTGGACGGTGTCGAGGTGCTTGTAGCGGTGGTGGTAGTTGTAGACTTGGTGAAAGAAAATCCGCTGAACGGGCTGACTTTCGACGTTTCGTCAGGCTTCTTCGACTCGCTCGTCGAATCGCTGACTTCCTGAATGATGGGTTTCGAACTGAAGGAAAATCCTCCTAATGTCGTCGTGTTAGATTTCGACTTGTCTGCTGTCGAGGTAGTTTCCGCGATCAAGTTGATCTTAGTTTGCAAATTGGCTTGTGCTTTTTGTGTTTTGGAGGCGTCCTTCTCGCTAGAAGACACAGAATTCTTGTCACTCATTACCTTGGACTCCTTTTCTGCGGGTGACGTCAGGCCGAGCCTGGCTTTGTCGAAAGCCTCCTTGAACGCCAATGCTTCCTCCGCGGTCTTGAACTTGATACAGAGCTTCTCCAATTTCACCTCCTCGTCTGCAAAGTCGTTCGCTACCCAGCACCAGGCCTTGTTGTTGTTCGCCATGCTGGTTAGCTCCATGTCGGGACGCAGCATGTGGTTCGCGCAGATTTTTAGGACTTGATCGCGTCGCATTAGCAAACGTACCTTGCCTTCGACATTGCGCAATAGCTTCATGTAGCCGATTCCGCGTTCCTTCCACTCCTTATCTACGAAGCGAAACAGCTTTGCGCGACCGCAGTACAGTGTGACCTCGTCTTCTTCACCAGTGGTTACTTTGATTTCTGCGGGCAGCGGTATGACTGGCACGAAGTCTGGTATCGGATCATGCTCCGTCTCGCATACGTCCGTAGAAGTGTTTGGCGACTCGATCGACTCGTATACCGCGCTGATGTTGGCTTTAGGGTCGGCCAATCCAGTCCGGTGAGAGTCTGCTGTTTGCATGGTCTGCATGTTGGCTGGCGTGGTGGTGAGAGTGGGCAGCAAGGGTGGTAGATTGACGGTAGTTGGTATGGTGGCCTGAGACGGCATGGAGATCTGGTAGCAGTGCGGCACGTTGGACGATGACGACGATGACTCCGTCATCGCAGTTATCGTCGTACCAATGGAAGTAATAGCGGCAATTCCGCCTCCCAGTCGGTACTGCGGCGGTATAGTGACGCTTAAAGTTGGCTGCACGAGCGGCACTGTCGTCGGTAGCGTGTCGGATGTTGTTATGACCACGTTGACGGGCGGCGTCTTGTTCACTGGCGCGTCCTTAATAACGGTCGTCGTGATGGCGGGCTCAGGAGGCTTTGCCGGTTGCGGCGGCTCGACCTTCTGCAACGGCATCTGCAGCGTCGGTGGCGGATTCGTAACAGGAATCGACATAAGATCGGACAACTGCGACGGTATTCGTGATGCGAAGAGACCCTGTTGGAGTAGGTTGTCGGGCACCTTTGCTGAACGGTTGGGATATATCATTGGCATCGAATACATGTTGTGCGGATACAGAGATGGTATGGCCTGGGCGTTCGGGTCGCTGAACCCGGGTATTCCACCCTGGTAGTAGCCCTGGAACGTAGTTGCAGAGGGATATATCAGCGACGAGTACGGATGGCGGTGCGACGGTGTGAATATGTTGCCGGAAATTGTTGACGCCGCTGGACCGGATTGATTCGAATAATTCAAATCAGTGAACTCATCGTTGTCGAGAACATAGAAGTCGTCTTCAACATTAGCATTCATATTCATCTGTTGCTGTACGCGTTGGTGTTGTTGCTGTTGCTGCTGCTGCTGTTGTTGCTGCTGCTGCTGCTGGTATTGCTTCTGATTGTCCTTGCGCAATTCCACCATCTCTTTCATCAGACCCTCCATCTTTTCCGTTAGCGACTTCATGTGATCCGTCATACCCTTCATTTGCTCTACTAATTCCTGCACCACGTTATCCCTGGAGTGCATTATCTGGCGTATTTGTGCGTCAAGACGCTCTGGACTTGGACGCGCTTCCGTGCGATTACGCGACAGATCCAAGATATCGTGATGCTGCGGTCTACACGGCGTGCTGCTCTGTTTAGGAGCGCGTTGAGTAGTCCTCTGAGGTGTGCTTAGAATATTGTGCGCCGTTAAGTTCGGCAATGTCGTATTGGCGACCGTCTGGTCGACAGCACTGTGAGCAGGTGAGTAACTCTCGTCGGACATACCGTCGCAGTCGTTTCTGCTCAGATCGCTCCTGCCAAGATCCGGATCGATTCTTTTTAGTTCGTTTTCGATGTCGGCAATGTGAGTGCCCAGCTCTGAGTTGAGCGGGTGCTTGGGATTCATGCCAGGACTGCGTAATCGATCGAGCGTGAGGTAATAGCAGTTCCTCGCCTTCGAGAGCATTATAATATGTTGTGAGCGCATCTCCGAAGTCAGACTTTCACGTGGCATAGAGTTCACGATCTCGTCCGCGAACATCTTGTAGATCTGCGCCTGTTGGAACGATGCGTCGGGGCACTTGAGCGCTTGTAGCGCGTCGATAGCTTGCTCATACTGCTTGTCACGAACGAATTTTTGCGCCAGCAACAGTTTGCCCTCCTCAAGAGCATTGGTCAGCTCGATATTGTTCATCTCCTTGCCCTGATAGTTGAACAGTCTGGTCGTAGACATGCGTATCGTTTGATTGTTCTGCAGACGCTCGAGCAAGGGCACGGCGGTGCTCCAGTATAGCTCGGAGCGCGTCTCCAAGGTCGGGATGTCGCCGTGCTCCTTGTCTTTCTCCTTCAACATCTTTGTACGATACTGAAATATACGTGCTAGATGAACCAACAGCACCGGATGCAAGCCGTGATTGCCGATGCAGCGAACGACCTCGAGACCTTGCTGCAACTCGTGCCTCAACTCTCCAATATCGCCCTCGATGTCTTTCTGCTTGGAATACATCTTGTAAGCTGCAGACCACCACTTCTCCTGGTTGCAAGTACAGAGTGTCGACGTCAGGTCGGCCGGCAAAGTCGGCAACCTGTCAGGACTGAGGAAACTGCCAAGTTGCTGCTCTTCTACGATCGCTGATGAGCACAATATCGTCGCGTTTAAAAACGCGTCGATGTCGAGCTGGCACAAGCTGTCGGGCGCCGCTTGACTCACATTGTACACCGAGAACTGCAGTTCCGGGAACACATGGGAGTACTGATGCGGCTGGGGACCGCCATTCTTGTTTAACGAATGGTGCGATCGACTTTGTATTCCGAGCCAGACTTGATGATGCAACGAAGCGGGCCACATCTGTTCCGCAACTACAAAGAAAAAATCATACATTACTATAAGATTTTGCATTTACGCGTAAAATATGATACTCTACGTCTACATGTAGACAATGTAAACTATATTTGAGGTATTATGTGACAATGTATAACTTATACATTAATGAACATGTACCTTCGTCGTAACATTTTAATTCATTCTGAGAGCAGAGGCGCAGAGGCGAGTTGGGTGTTGAATGATTGCAAAAATATGAATTTCGCATATGATCAAGATGTATCCTGCTTACAAAAATTCTCTGAAAGAAGCAAAAGATAATTAATAAGACTTTGTAAATCATTTAATTATCATGAATAGTTGATTAGTTCTTTACCTGATAAACACGCTCTCTCCAAAATCCCGTGCAAAATTTATCGATCTTGTCCATTAGCTTCTTTGTGTCACCCTTAGCATAATCTTGAAGAACGTGGCCTACGGATGAAATAGATGATATATACATAAAAATGACGTTCAGTAAAGCGTCGCACGTACATTTCACAATATTGCATAATATTTCATATTTTCACGTACCAGCTTGACTACACCGATACGAGCCCTCTGTATGCCATAAACGGATTTGATTCTTAGATGGATCCTTTATGTGCACGATCCACGCAGCGGTGGAGTCTATCGAAGTCACATGTAATGCAGTTAGTAATAGAGGTGCGCACAGTCTCCCCGCTTCACTCCAGCTGCCTTGCTCTCGTTTCGTTTTGCGCAACAACAAACACGCCAAATGGAAGTGTAATTGACCCCACATATGCGTGAGCATGTATTCTATGAAGACTTGATGTTTGGGAAAATTCTTCAACTTCAACTCGTTCAGGTTTTGGTCCAAACTGAAACGTGAATTCGCCTTAATAAACATTGTATAAGGACAATCGCGTATATTCAAGAAAACGGACTGTTGTCTAATCTTTGTAATTCACAAGATATATTCTGTTGATGGTAAATTCTACAAAACGTTGATTTTATTATATTTTCCTGTTGATCCCCGAGTGAAAGATATTTTAGATCCAATATACGTACTTAAATACTGCTTGAGTCGCTTCTGGAACGCTTTTCTTGATCTCACTGTTTTGCTCCTTGAGACACAATGCTGCATATTTTTCCAACGAAGAGATAAAGAGTACCCAAAAAGACCAGTCAGTGTGCATGGTTTCTTTACATTTCGTCAGTAAATCACATAACGTTTGATACCACATGATACTGTTCCTGTAAGCATGAGTGGCTTCCACACTAGCTGCATGTTCATAAGCGTTATCATATTTGTGCTTTGACATATAATGCTTCAACAATTTCACTCTGAGTTGGACATCATTTGGTCTTGCATTCAATTCAGCTGGAATAATATAATTTCACATATTAACCCATACTTTGACATTTGAGTAAGCAGTTGGTGAGTATACTCACATGTAATGAGGGCCTCGAGATCCTCATTGTTGTCATTTGGTTTGTCCACAGTTAATAGCTTTTCCTTTAATTTGAATACCACTGGATGGTGTGGAAACTGTTTGTCTGCTCGTTCTATCCAGTATTTTATCTTATTGACATCCATTCCTATATCTGTATCAGTCAGTAAATCACACACTGGAAAAGAAACATTGGGTAGATTAATTCAGACTATCTGTTCTCTTTATCTGAATTAAGTTGCACTTTTTCTATTTTCAGAATAAAACAAATATATTATTTAGCGTCGAAGGAAAAAGGAACAGTAGTGTTAGTTCAGCTGTAAAGAGGTCTAATGAATCAAGGATAAGTATGAAAAAAGATTGCCTGCTTACCTTTTAAAACAAGATCATCCTGCCGTGCTTCAAGTTCCAGAGAAGTTTTGTACTCGTTCAAAGCTGCTTCCTTTTGACCAAGCGCCTCGTACACGTTGCCCAACAACTTGTGTGCACTGGCTGATTCATCTCGTACTTCTAAGTAACTACATACATATCTCTTTGCAGATTCATAATCACCTACTTGATAATACAGTTTGGCAACATTGTAAGAACGAAGACTTTTCTGTAAAGAAAAAGAACAAAGAGAATTAAAAAGTGCTATTTCTCACATTTTATTTAACATATATTCAAAACTATAATTATATCTCCCGTAAATCTTACATTTCTGCGAAACAACACAATTTTAACACAGAGAATATATTTTCGGTATATATATTAAACGTGTAATATAAGGAAGAAACTCCACTTTGGTAGTTGCAGGGAACAAGTTTACGCCGAGGTAAACGACGCACGACACACAACAGCCAACGCGAGTGACGTCGTTGTCTCGAGTAGGATTTCCCGCGAAAATTCACCATTATCGTGCGTTGCGGCGTGCACTGCACTCGTGTGTGCGATTCCATTTAGCGTGACAACTCAAGGACGCATCGGACGGTAGGAATAGTACCGCTTGGCGTGCTTAGTATTGACATGTCACCGGCGTCACACGTCATCGTAGCGGTTGCTCCGCGAAAACATGAAGCTGGAAAGACGGCGGTGGCGGTGGCGCGCGGGCTCAGCGAAACGTACGTTAGGGATATTCTCGTGTGCGCGAAGAACGAAGTAACCTCACCTCGTTCTCGTTCCACAGCTTGCTGAAGATATTCTGCACATGCCGATCAACGTCCTTCTTCGTGCGGAACATGCTGCCGGCTGGACTCGCCGGTCGACACGGCCTCGCTTTTAGTTGCACTTGACCAGTAATATTCTCACGTTCCGATCACTCACGCGCTTAGAATACAGCGGTCATCGCAACGCACGTCTCTTTCAAACAGAACCGTCTCGAATTCAAGAGCACCAACTGTCAGCGATGTCGCGCACGGGAGCGTCTCGATTGACCACGGTACGATTGGACACAACCAACCGATGAAAAGAATTATCTAGTGAATTACTAGGTCGAATTAATCATTTCAATCTGTGTCCAATCGTATCGTGGTCAATCGACGGCTGCGTGAAAGTTCCCGCGAACGACACGGGAAGAGTCTTGATTGGTCGACATGAACATTCGATATTCGATGTCCAATAGGAGTGCGTTCCAAAATTCAACTTTGGTTACCACAGTTCTATATTTCATGTTACTATAGAATATGGTAACCAAGGTTGAATTTTGGAACGCACCCAGGGCTGCGTTCAGATTCCCCACCCGGGTGTATTCTATTACTAAAAGTGCTATAGTATATGTAACATATACTATAGTGTTTCTAGTAATAGAGTGCACCCGGATGAGGAATCTGAACGCACCCCACGAGAATCTTTTCTATAGAAACAAATATCTCTAGCCTCGCGAAGATTATGGCTCCTGCACACAGGACGCGGTAATGCTTGCCGCGTGCGGAAGTTAGCACGACAGCCAATCAATATGCTGCTTTCCGTAATAACCTTCTAGCTCTTACGGAAAAACAACATATTGATTGGCTGTCGCGCGGACTTCCGAAGTGCGGCAAGCATTACCGCGTCCTGTGTGCAGGAGCCATTACAGCTGCGTTTCGAAATTCACTGTCAGTGCTGAAGTTCTATAGTATACATAACATGAACAATAGATTTTCAGTATTGGCAGTGAATTTCTTGGCAGTGAATTTCAGGCAGCCTACTCCTTGGGCTGTGTTCCAAAACTCGACGGGTAGAGTACATTTAATTGCCCAATCATGATAAAGAAATCCTAGTTATCTTTGCTTTTATTGATCAATTAAATGCTACTCTACCCGTCGAGTAGAGTTTTGGAACGCAGCCTTGAAGTTTTGCCAAATTATGTAAAAAAAATTTATTGGAAACTTCCGTTGCATTCTTTTTGAGTGTTACGCACGCTGTAAGTGTTATTCTATCTTTTTTCCATATGTAATGAGCGATAAGATAGGCCGCGTTCCGTTTCACGCATATACGTGCGTTTATCTACAGTTCATGTTACGTATATTATAGGAAATGCGCCCATAGTGCGTGAAACGAAACGCATAGAATAACGCTTGCAGCGCGTGAAAGGGATGCGCCTTTGGCCGCGTTCCGTTTCATGCATATGCACGCATTTATCTATAGTTCGTGTTACGTATATTGTAGGCAATGCGCGCATAATGCGTGAAACGGAACGCAACCTATGTATATCCGCGTAATCGCAGTTTCAGCTGTTGTGAATTTTGTCCTCTGTTGTCATTTTTTAATAGATTTCTCGTTTTACACTCGACCGTTCAGGTCGATTGGAGATACAATGGTGGAAGAGATTATCAATCCCAGCAATAAACCAAAAGTAAAAATGCGATTAAGAGACTGGTTATTATATATAGATTATACGAGTTTTTTGTTTACTAACCAACTATTTCGTTACAACGCAGAACAAAACTACTCGACCTCGTCCGGTTTACTTGTGGAATGTGTTGGATGTGCAAAAGTGGCTCAGACGACACTGCAGTGACTATTATCAGTTATATCATGAGAAATTCTTGCACGTAAGAGCTGTAAACTTATGCATCTTCAAACTTTACTGAATTCTAATTAATCCCCAGACAGCACAAATGTCCAAAATTGAGTCGTAAGACGTCTTTAAGACACCTTTAACATACCTTATAAACTTATTTTAAAGATATCTTAAAGCTGTTTAAAAAACATCTTATGACCCAATTTTGGACATTGTGGTCTGGGTTGTGTCATTGTGAGACATAAGAATAGTTTGCACTCAATTACATCAATAGAAGATTGAATTGATAGTAATTTTGCATTAAACAAACAAAGGCAAAAGAAGAAGTAACAATATAAAGTAAAAATATTTTATATTTTTTTAAGCATGACATTACAGGAAGGGTATTGTTAAGAATAAACGAAAATATCTTACTGCGACTGGGTATCGATAATGAACAACACAGGATGGATATATGGAGAGAAATTATGAAACTGCTTCTTAAGACAAACATGCTAGAGATCAGAGAGTTAGAGCGACGTAATAATATGAATTTTGACTAGAATGCCTAAGATCATTTTATACATTTTTTAATTACATAATATTAATCTATTTTATATTATTTATTAATATAATATTATATTTAATGATATTTATATATTAATCTGTATATATTATGATACATGTATAAATATATATTTATATTTTATATATATATATATTTATTTAATATAAATTTATCTTCCTCTTAGTAAGAATATCAATATGTAACATATATTCAATATATAACAATAAAAGATTACTTCAATTGTATATATTTCTTTTTTAATGCAAATTTTTTTTAACAGGAAATTGGTCAATTATAAAAATTCCAAAGGAGTATCATGAACACAGAAAATTTCATTGATATTCCATGAGTTCTGAGACATTGGTTGCGTTCAGCGAACTCAACAGTTGCACAACAGTTGAGCAATTCGTCAATGTAATTGGTCTAGATTTAGGGATCTAACAGTGAGAACCAATAATCGCTGATTGCTCATTGAGCGCTTTTTCCGCTAAACGCGCCCAATTATTTACGTATTAAGGCTACGATTATGGCAATTTGTGTGCGAAGGCCCTAAAAGTGTGAAAGATTCAAACAACGTGAACAGACTTTGTATCTCGAATATCTATCCAATCAACGTGATCTCTTCTTAAAGTGAAAGATCGTGAAGGAATGGCTCCTTCACACAGGGCGCGGTAATGATTGCCACTCGGCGGAAGTTCGCGCGACAGCCAATCAATATGTTGTTTTTCCGTAAGAGCTAGAAGGTTATTACGGAAAGCAGCATATTGATTGGCTGTCGTACGAACTTTCGCCGCGCGGCAAGCATTACTGCGTCCTGTGTGTAGGAGCCAGAAGTGATTAGTCACAGCTTGTAACTAGCGACACGCACTTCGACTCTTGCTCGCAAGAGCCATCTGTCCTGTGTAGATCGCTACACTTCCATTTTCTGTGCAAGTTCTTTCGGTGAAACGTGAGATACAAGATGGTAAGGGATGCTGTTTATCGTTCATAATTTACCGAAATTATCGTATCGCGATTTGCATCACGATGTATCTTCGTCGTCGACGTAGCCCGACGTAAGGCGTACGATAGAAACGTGAATTTTCCATAAAGTAGATTCTATTGAAACAGAAAACGCGTGCGCCACGAATCCACCATGTGGTGTGTCTCGCTGTGTGACCAACACCGAAGCGGGTCGCAATGGATATTAACTCGCACGAATCGTAATTCAATTTTTTATGTGATTTGTTGTAAGTTAATCGTGTGCGTGATTGTCGCGAGTAGGCAAGGTAGAAGTCGGAAGCTCATAACCTCACTTATACGTGATTCCGTACTGTAGCCGACCATTTTTTAGCTGTACTACTGAACTAGTGCAATAAATGAAACAAATATACTTTCTCTCACTCCAACTTATTGCAAAAAGAAAGCTAAAAAGAATAGACCACATGTTAGATTTTTGTGTTTTACATAAATAATATATCTCTGATGCTTGTTCTTTATTTAACACTCGCTCTGTCTCGCAGACTTGCAAACGCAGGAACGGTGGACGCGCCAAGCATGGCCGCGGCCATGTGAATCCAGTTCGTTGCACCAACTGTGCCCGATGTGTCCCGAAGGACAAAGCTATTAAGAAATTCGTTATTCGCAACATCGTCGAGGCCGCTGCTGTTAGAGACATCACGGAAGCGAGCTTTTATCAGTCGTATCAGCTGCCCAAGTTATATGCCAAGCTTCACTACTGTGTGTCGTGTGCTATCCACTCCAAAGTGGTGAGAAACAGGTCCAAGGCTGATCGTCGTATCAGAACACCTCCTGTACGCAACTTCCCAAGGGTATGTGTGAATTATAAGTAAATTCCACTCTTATATCGCTGAATTTATTATCACATCATTGTTATTTGCAGTTCTTAGTCTAAATTTCAAGTTTGATCTTTGACTATTTCGCAAAATTAGAGATATATAATTAAAATACTTGATATATATATAATTATATCAGATGTATGTTCTTTCATGCAATTATCATGTAATAAATCTTCAAATTTGACATTGTTCAATATATGTATACATATTGTACTTTGTATGAATCCATTGTACCATATGTGATCTCTTCTCATTTTCAGGATCTGCGCCAAGGCCAGCAGAACAGGAAGTAATTTTATTATGTAAAGTTAATTTTTCGATATAAATAAAACTTGATTAAAGTAATACATTGACTACCTTTTATTTGGATTATAATATAAATTACAGAGCACAATGTGTATTTGCTTTGTTGCGTGTTATTGCTTTTATCACTTAAAGAGATAAACAGTTGAGATTGCAGTAGTGCGCAGCCACTGTGTCGAAAGAGAAGAAAAAAAGATCGTTCAGAGGAACGTGTCTGCATCATGTATACATTTATTGAACATGACTTGCACAAAGATAAAGTACGCGATCTAAATATTTGCTAATATCTTTCCAAATTCGCAACTTCTCTTAAGGCTCCATTACGAGAATAGAACAAGATTTCAGTGAAATCTGAACTTCGCCGATAAAGTACTTACACTCCATAAAAATATTCGCGTCCAATCAGCAAGAACTTTCTAATAATTAGAATGAATTATATAAAATTAATGTACATGTGACAAGTAATTCCCAAGTATATATATATATTGTACATTAGAGAATCATTTATTCGCCTCCTCCATGGCTTTCTTCAATGTCTTCTCGAAGATCTTTTTCGAGTCGCAGAATCCTTGCTTCGTTTTGCCGAATGAATTCGGTCCGGCCGATGTTGGTGTTTCGCGACCGATATTTCGCATCCTCATCCTCGCTTCCGCCGGCATTTCTTCTGGTTCGTCGTCTTCGTCGTTGAACACTGAGGCTACCGTCGGTTTCTGTGCTGTCGTTGTCTTCGCGACTGGTTTCTACAGAAAGGCAAATGATTTTGTGCACAAAGAATAGATTGCAGAAATGAAAGATCTTATGCGTGTATATATACAAAGTGTTTCTTAAAGAGGTATTAGACTCAATGTTGCATCAAGGGAACCACTCTTAGACTTAGGCCTGTATTCTGAGTTCTCTTTTAATGATAAATTAGCCTTTAAAAGTGACTCATAGCCAATCAGAAAGCTTATAAGCCACTTTTAGAGGCTTATTTATCATTAAAAGAGAACTCAGAATATAGGCCTTAAACTCTTGTTCTGAACTTTTTTTTATCGATGAAAGTGTCTCTAAACGTGACTTATAAACCTTTTGATTGACTTACAAGTATATTTAGAGACACTTTTATTCATAAAAGAGATTTCAGAATAAAAGCCTTACTATTTATCAAATAAAATGTTTTTATACATTTACTTCATTGTCTAACTAATGAATGTTAATTTGAGACAAAGTTGAAATAGATATATACATACAAAATATTACAAATACAAGAAATATTATTCTTAACTTTTTTCTCATTAGTGCTTTATAGTTGATCTAATAGAAATGCATAGATAACAGAAATATTAAAAAAAAAATATATATGTATCTTGAATATTATTATAAATTACAAATTTTCTATCCCTGTATTTTCAAAACAAAATGTTGAATAATTCTAAAATTTATGTATAACGTCGGTATATTTTTCTTTAATGTTATAGCACATTTTTATCAAAACCCTAATTTTAATTTATAAGAAATTAAAAATAGCATGGTAACCTTAAAGAAAATGTATAAAAAGTGTCAATTTTAACTTTAACTATTCCTAAAATCTTTTATTTTTCTCTCATACTTTTCTAACTGCAGTTAGATAATATTTTAATTTATATTTATATGTAGTGCAAATTTCAATAAATTCTCAACAAATTCATTTTGCCTTACAACCTCCTTTCAAATACTGTCTAATAATTTAAGAGTTAATTTTTGAGGTCGTTTTATGAGGAAAAGTTCATATAAATATATAGTCTCAAAGTATAGCTTTTTAAATCTTCAACTACATATTCTTCACAGGTTTGGATATTTTTGCATAAATTATGATATTTTACATTCACATGTAGATAATTAATAACTTATACATGTTGTTTAAAAAACCTGTGGCTTGTTAAAAAATTAAGGAAAGTTTACTTAACTTATAATACTTAAGTTTATTTTTAGAATACTGATGTAAATTTATGAATGTTGTTTCTTAAATAAAGTTACAGAATCAGAGATTACAGAATTCTTTGATTACATTCTCATCTACAGAGAGTTAAATCTATTAATCTGTTACACAATGAAATGAAAATATCATGTAACTTGTCTCTCTCATCGCAATTATAATTAATACTCAAAACAGATATGATAACTGCCTTATAATTTCTTGTTTTTGTATATTTTAATATTATTTGCAATATTCTGCATAATTTACATTGCATAAAAACCAATGGTATACATCAGGTAAAGAACACATGTAAGCGACACAAACAAACTTTATACGTTCATGTGAATTTTTCTTCGCAATGACCTTGACAATAAACTAAAATATTAGACAGCATTCAACCAGAATATTAGACACCCTGTACAGAGAAAGAATCTGTACGAAAATTTCACTTACGGAAGTTGAGCCTAACTTGATCTGTATCCCCTTTTTCTGCTCATTGCCAGCCTTTTTCCCAAAGCCAAACGCCAACTTCTGCTTCTTCGCGTCCGGCTGATTATAGCTGACCGATTCGCAGCGCTCCTCGGGCCTGAGAGGCGAGCGGTCTCTACCTTTGTCATCCTCTCTCGTGTCCTCCGCTCTGTAGACACTTGACCCTGACAACGTCAAACACTGGCAAAGTTCAGATCAAGTTAAACAAAGTCGACTTTTTAACCGGAAATCTTTAAGCATCTTATGCTTAACGCTGTGTTCATGTCCTACAAATTCAACGATTAGCGATTAAGTGCACGATCGAAGTCGCGCGACGCAAGAGATCTGTTCGTTTTCGACAAACTTCTGCACTGGTGCAATAAGTCAGAGTGAAATGAGTAGTTTCTTTCGCTTTAGCTCATCGCATCGGTTGAAAAATTCTGCGAAAACGAGCAGGCCTGATGTCCGGCGAATTGCAACGTATATACTGCAATACGCAACGTTTTTACATACGCATTTTTCTCGTTGCAAGTATAAGCGCGACGGAGAGCCGAAGAATCGAGTCGGATCGGAAAGCTCGAAGCAACAACGAACTGCATTTTAGGTGCAAAGCTCGGCGCGACCTTCCTCGCGCGCTCTCTGCTGCGGTTAGAATGACGCATACATTTTGGATGGAACTCGTCGCGTTTATTTCTCGCTCGACAATGCGAATCTTTGGTCTCGCGATTAGCATCTCTGAGAGAATGTTTCATGTCAGACGAGCGTCACGTACGTGGAGCTTTGCATAAATAATTCTCACGGGTGTGTGCGCGCTGACATAACCGAGAAGCGAGGTCGGGCTCTTCTCGGAGTCGGGGTAGCGTAATATAGAAGTAAAATGAACAAAACCTTTTCTGTAATCGTCCCCGGGATTCCGCCTGGACATTTTATCGGTATCTTGCGGACGCGCTGACGGAGTACGTTGATTCGAAGTAACCTAAAAATCGTTACTGAAGCTCCGATGCTCTCGTTCGTCACTGTCGCCAACCGAAATGTCGTGCCCTGAATTGGTCGAATAGAGCAGTTGTCACCATTGCGAAATTAATTCCTGGGGACTCTCATAGGTGACAGATGTGTCGTCGGATGCGTTCGTGGTCGGTTGTGCTCTCCGCGTTTTCTCTTTTCAATGGCGGAAGTGAATTATGCAGGATTCACACCGCGTCCGACGTCCGATATATGACGTTCGATATCTAATAGAAAATTCAATTCTCCATTGGAAAGCTATTCTTTTATTGGATATCGGACGTCGTACATCGGATATCGGACGAGGTGTGAATCCTCCATTAGCCCCGATCTACAATGGGTACTTTCCAATTGCTTAACACATCTTGACACATACGTACACAAAACCAGTTTATTGGTCACATATCTAAAATATCTTGTAAGATAATATATAACCAATAAACTGGTTTCATGTAACACACAAAATGTAACTGGAAAGCATCCAATAGGTGTAATAAGCTTTGAGCCTTAAGAAATTGACCAATCATAGTAGAATTATAGAGGAATAATCAATTGTGATTGGTTAATTTCTTACGGCTTAAAGCTTACTACACTATTAGTCCCGATCTACAATAGGTCAACTTCGATTCTTCTATAATTCGACTATGATTGGTCAATTTTTTTGGTCAACGGTTCCGGCATAAGTTAACGGATTATGGCCATCATAAACCAGCCTTTAGAGTAAAACAAAATATTTTGTTTTATTCTAACTTATTGTACCAGAGTGCACCAGTTTAGCTAAAAAGAACAGACCTAAAGAGCCGACTACAAGTGCAAAAGGTGTGTTGAACTAGCAAACCTGTTGGCATGTTTTACAACTGAGAATGTTACTTTTGAACTGAGATAATATGCAGTAATTGTTTAATATTAATTGTTATTTATAATTTATGCATTGAAAGATCGACTGGAACAATTGTTATTTTTATCATGTAAGTTTAATGAATTGTTATGCGTATTAATGTCAATTTGATACACGATTTTTTGAGAATTGCTATTTTATAAACTACCATAATAATATACTTGATTTTCATACAATTTTATATTAACTGGTCGTTAATGTTTCCTAATATTATAAAGATTTTTTCGTGAGTTATTAAATAATAACAGAGTTATTAAATGTTGATTGCTTGAATTAGGTTAAGCTGATATCTGTTGATTGAGCTTCAATAGTGCTGAGAACAAAGATGTATTCTTTCTATTATTTCTGTTTAAGTGTTTGAAAGATGTGTACTAACACTCACTTATTTTTCTTCACAGTGAAAATGAATACTGGTTTGCTACTCAGATCAGTGTATCAAGCAGTTGATGCCGTTCCAAGAATTTTAGCCTTGCAGCCTTTCCAGAATGTATTGGCTCACAAAATTCATCACCTGTGTGACAGGCAAAGATTAAATCTGACAGCAAACAGTCCTCTTAATCATGACACATCTATTATTCTGCAATCTGTCACTCCTATGTACAATTCTATATGTGGCCTGAAAACAAGGGGAGTCTTGCAGCTCCGCTGCAAAGACTGTTATTATATTTCAAGACGTGAAAGACTCTACGTAATGTGCAGATCATTTCCTAGACACAAACAAGTACAGATGAAGAAAAGAGAGAACAAAACATGGATTCTAACATGGGCTTCGACCAGTAAAATTCGAGGCTGGTAACGATGATATGTATGGATTAATTGTAAATGGATATGTTTGGTTAAAATATAGATAAAGCTGAAATAAAATATCAATATAGAATGAACGATATTTTGTAATATGCTTAAACATATATTTTGTGTTTATAAAGTTGTGCTTATCCTTAATTTTTATTTATATATTTCCTTCTTCCTTTTATAGCTTATTAACTTATAGCTTACTAACAATTTCCGATCGTAATTTAAACGTAATTTAAAGAATCACTATATGAGGAAATCGCAATTATTTATTTGTCGATATAAGCGACAGAAAAATAAACTCCATTATTATACTCTGATGGAAATATTTTATTGAAAATCTCTTTGAATTGGCCCTTTTTCATTAAAATTCATTACGTTCATAAAATTCATTAAAATTCATTAAGATTCTTCAAAATTAATTAAAAATCATTAAAATTCATTAAAATTTGTAAAATTTATTTTATTGCTATATAACAATAAAATTAATTTTATGAATTTAATAAATCTTAATTTTAGGAATTTTAATGGAAGGAATGGATTTTAATGAATTTTAATGCATTTTAATTAATCTTAAAGAATCTTAATAAATTTTAATGAAAAGAGGTCAATTGAGAATAATTTTTAGTAAATATTTCAATAAAATATTTCCATCAGGGATATGCAAACTATTGTAGCAGCTATCGAGTTGCGAACTGTTCGCTAGTTTAAAATTGCAGATATCGTTAACATTTATTTTGGCAATGGAAGTGTAAAAGGTATGGTCGTTGAATTGTTGGCGTTTACTTCGTCCCATTCATCATTCGCCTTGACCATAGTCTTATCTTTCCACAAGTCTTCTTGTACGGAAGATATGGCGCCCGACCAAGCCTACAAATAATAAGCCAAATATTAAAATTATATATATATAAGTTTACTTAAAAAGTATTGTTAGAAATTAAATTACAATAGAGTGAGAGGAAGAGTTACCCGTTCGCAATGATTCGCCCACATGTAGATCATTTTGTTGTCTACTTTCTTGGACAACTTCTTCGTCTGTCGTAGCATTCTCATCGCGGCTCCCTTTTGCGATTGGATCATACAATAGTATGCCCTTAGTAACGTATACCTGCAAATAAATAGAGATATTTAAAAGGGATAAGGACCCAGGTAGCACAGAGAATTCTAAAAGAATTCAGTCATATGTCACCAATTCTGAGTTCATTTTTAGGTACAAAAAGAATTTTTTTCACTGAAGAATTCTTTGAACTGAACGTAATGAATTCTTTTTACATCTGAAAATGACTTCTGAATTGATGACATACGACTGAATTTTTTTTTAATTCTTTTTAAATTCTTTGTGCTATTTGGGGAGATAAGTGCATGATCGCATTGAGAAGCAAAGACTTGAAAATTTATTTGTATATATGAAATTTATTTCTGTGAAATATATAAGTTTTTATTTCACAAATAAATCTTCAAGAATTTTTTTCTCAGTGCATTAGTTAATTTTGTTCGCGAACCTGGGAATCGCGATTTTCACAATTTTTATCATTTTCTCGACGCGTTTAAAGGTATCCTTAATTTCCGTCATCGTGTTCATCGCGTGAATGCTCTTGCCGGTAACATCTCGCACTATATGAGATTGTCTTTATTACAATTGTCTTGATTGTCTTTATTATTTTTGTCACATAATGGAAATTTTTGTGTTTAATAACGATAATCTTCGATTTTTGGGAACTGTATCGTGCATTGGCCGAACGTCGATTTTATTACCGTATAAAATCAGAAGGCCTTCGAGTTTCTTCAACGCAGTGATCGTCGCTGCCACTATATGTTCGTCCATCACGCTCTCGATTGTCACATTCCTGCTGTCCCAAACCCTCGACGCTTCCCATTGTTGCGTCCTGACGCACCTGTCGATAATATACATATCAGTATCACGATTACGAACAATTATTTTTTTAATTCTCGTGTTTAATTGACGATTAATATAAGCCAATTCAATGGTCATTTAATTGAAAATTGATTTCAATAGATTTAATCAAAAACCGTTCAATTGAAAAAGTATGGCGGGCTTTATAAGAAGTAAGTAAATGAATAAAATAAATAATAATTGTTAATAAAAGTAAAAAAACCTAATATACTCATACAATCTAATATTTGGTAAGATTCGAGCAAAAGTACCGGAAACTGACGAGTGCCGGATATTGGACGTTTTCCCATAATAATTACGACAATGACAAGAATAATTATTTATTAGCGCGTTAATTAGTATTTTCGGAATCGATTTCTCGACGAATTCGCGATAACCGTTTGTACTTACCACAACCACATGGAGGTGAAATATCGCCTCTCTGCTTCGGGATCTCGCAGGCTGATCATAGTTTCTCCTTCTTGAAGGTAATATCGCTCGCAATTTCGAAAGGAGAGAATCGTAAATCCGGTGTCGAGTTGCACGTCGGCGCACATTGCGTAATACCAAGTGCGACCCGACTTATCTAGATCGTTTTGCGATGCAAATTCTGCAATTGAATTTACTCTTAAAGAGGTTCTAGTGTTTCTCTGATTGTAAGTAGTATTTGATGAATGAAATCATTTAAAATTATAATTCTCTCTGCGATATTATAGTAAGATAAAATCTGCAAATGTTACAATATGTAATCGTTTTTTATTTTGAAAATCATCATTAAATATTTTAAAAGTGACAAAATGAAATTTGTGAGATACTTACGTTTGATGTGAACATCAATTATAAGAAAAGAAGTGTGAACATAAAATCTATTCGTTTTATTGTATTTGATAAATTATCAATTTTATTCAAGTTGATTTTTTTTGGATATGTATAAATGTTACGTGAAAATGAATATTAAATATAGAAATAAATATAGGATAACGTTTCGTATATTCGTGTGTCGAGATTTGTGAATGATCACGCGCGATATGGTAAATGAACTGTAGAAGCGATGTGTGTTATCGTGTGCTTGTTAAGTCAAATTGAACAAAACACCCTTTATTAATTTGTAAATAACAATGTAGATTTTTAATTATTTATAAAAGAAAATTGTTACATGATTATGTAACGCGTGATAATGTACAAATTTTCTTTAATTAATATCTAAAAATTAATATCTAAAAATCTATATTTGCTAATATACAGGATGTCCCGCGTAAGACGGACCAAAAGAAAAATATAAGTAGAACACATTAAAGTGAACAAAAATTATATAGGCCATTTTTCAAACAACCACGTAAAATTTTGAGATATTAATTAAAATAGTTGAGCATATCAGAGCGCGGCGAGCGGGACATACGGCGCGCCGCGGCTGACGAAGAAAATGGATGATTGCTCGCGGGCTTATCTTATAGGCCAGAGAGGTGAGCCGTTTGGCATACTGAAATGAGTATCTCCGTGTGTGCGTCCGTGTACGTGTGCGTTTTTCCATTTTCTTCGCTGACCGCTGCGAGCCATATGTCCTGCCTGTCGCATCGCACGTTCTAATTTGTTCAATTATTTTAATTAATATCTCGAAATTTTACGTGGTTGTTTGAAAAATGACCTATAAAATTTTTGTTCACTTTTATGTGTTCTACTTATATTTTTCTTTTGGTCCGTCTTACGCGGGACACCCTGTATACTTGTACGCGGCGAAAACTTCTCTGATTTAATTATCTTTTAAGATTTTAACCTTAGGCTCGATTTCTATATGTAATTTTTCATTCAATGAGAGAGGAAATCTTGTGTTAAGCGCTACTTTAATGCTCACCCAATTCTCTTAACAAAGTCACGACTTCCGAATGACGACAGGAGATCATGAGCAGGTGAACTAACGTCGGTAGTACAAGCAGCTTGAGAAACACGGAGCCCATGGTTTGCGCCATCCTCGTCGTGATGAAACCAATTTTAATCGCCTTATGGATTTCTCCTCTCAACCATCGGGAGAAGAACACGCTCGCGTAAAGCTCAGCGATTGCTTTGAGCTCCTGAAACTCGAGGGAATCCTCCTTCTCCGCGCAAAAACTGAGAGCCACGTTCTCCAGGTAGGGAATAATAGATCTGAATAAAAATATGACTACGTTAAATGACGTTGAATTACGTCAAATGAATAAATATCGCAAGCAACAATATTATATTATTCGTAAATATTATTCGTTCGCTCATTCATTCATATGTAAAAGCATAGAAAAATAATAGAACCTGACAACGTCATTAGTTGTTTCAGATTTTTGTGAAACGAATATTGATTATTACTGATAATCAATATTATAATAACAAATACATAATACTGATTATGTCAGGCGAGTAATTATTAATTCATTAGTTTCATTGAATCAAAGTAGACTTATGACTCTATCGAGTTTCACGCGATGAATCACTTGGTTTGATAGACGTGCGCGGTGATCATCATATTGGTGAACGAAGTGCAGATCGTAAGGAAATCTTTCGACGTATCAAGCACGGTGTTCAAGCTCCATAAAGCTGCTAATCGTGCGTGTTTTCTCATTCCCTTCGTCTGTAATTAATATTTCATACATATAGAATACATTATACTAAATTTCACAATCCGCGACATTAAAAGAAAGTTTATTATCGCGTAGATGAGATAAGAAACGAATAATTAAATATATTTTGAAGACTTTGTAAACGAACAATCGGGCTAAATAACAATATAGGCTAATAACAGCAGTCTCTAGTTGTTGGGCGCGATAAATTTTCGCAACATTTGCTAAAGTTTGACTTACAAACATTTGCTTCAGTTTTTTGTAAAGATTTGGGGAATTTATAGGAGAAATTCGTCGAAAAAAAATCTTGCAATTTTTAATCATCCGTAGAAAATGATTAAAAGATCTGTAGAAGATTGTAGAAAAACATTATATAATATCCTATTCGTTAAATTCTCGTGCTTCAAAAATCTGGAAAATAAATTCAGGATATACGTTTTATATTATTGAATAATTTTATTCTACTTATTTATTTTAAATTATCGCGTCCAACATCTAGTAAGGGCTTTCATTAGCCTGAAATAAATAATTTGCGATTGAATGCCGATTTAAAAAATTTCATGAAATTCTTACTCTGTAAACTTCGAACATCAGTGCCAAGCAACTGGCCAACTGTTCGATATAATTTACGGTATCCACATCGATACTGTCGTTTCTCCAGCGTTTTGGGCAGGCCAGTTTCCATTTTAGTAATTTCAGTTGAATCGCTGATTTCAAGCCGATCAGGAACTCGCGTCTCGGTAAATGGTAACCCAGAGTGTTCATTGCATTGTCCAGCTTCTTCTGCGCCTCCGAAATTATACCACTCTCCAGATAACATCTACCCTCCAGCGTTTGGATTTTTGCGCTGAGATAAGGCAGGACTATCAATTCCTCCTCGCTGACATCAAACATCTGTCAAAGCAATCGGTTCTGATATCCCGCGAAAAAAGTTTATATATGAATTTTGTCTATATATGGATATATATGATTATATATATTATTATATATATATATATATATATATATATATATATATATATATATGTCCATATTGAAAAAAATGTTGTGAAGATACAATTGAAATAAATGCTTATGTTTATGGTAGTCCTTGATGTCGACGTTTAATTAAATAAAATTATATTTTCTTTTTTCATTCAGCAATATTTTTTTTATGTATGGATATATATATATATATATATATATATATATATTCATGTATATTTTTATGTGATTATATATTTTTTCCCGAAATTTTAGACTTCCGCGATGTATTGAAATGTTTGATCTGACTTCCAGGTTATTGCCGCGTCCTTCATTGTTCCTGATGTTTTTGTGAACATTCCAGTTCATTCATTTCTTCAAGACAAGAACGACCTCTGAGATTTGAGAATGTTCATCAAACGTCGGAAACAAATCCATGAAGGATGCGATATCAATGGAGAAGCTAGACCAAACAGTTGGTTAATTGCTTCTCTCGATTTTATTGCTTCAGTTATTCTTCCAGTTATCTCTTTTTATATCATTGACATTTCTTACATCGGAAAGTAAGTCCTCAGCATCGTTAAGGAGTCTGCGAGCTTGAGGTATGTTGTAACTTGTCAAACAAACTTCCACAAACTCCAAAATTGCTGTCAGGATTAATTCTTTCTTCCCTGTAAATAAGTGGATGGAACCGCTAAATTTTTGTGATTTATGAATTGGAAAAAAATAATGTTATTTTTTTCTACGCTTAACATTCGTCCACATCTTTAGTAAACACCACCTAGCAGTAACATTACGTTAACCTTATAATTTCTCATTCTGCAATGTAAGTGTAATATAGTACGTCGATGTATTAGTTCACAGATTAAGTGACTTGCTTTAAAAACTGACAAAACGTGGTCTATGTTTTTCATTGCAAAGTTCTAAACATTCAAATGCTTCTCTTGAAAAGTTTTGTTAATAGTACTTAACGTATCTGTGAACTAATGTATCGTAATTTTGTAATAAGAAACGCAGACGTTTTGTCTATTTTGAAAAAAATCACTTTAACACATCCGTGAACTAATGCATCGATACATTAACAGTTATAGAACGAGAAATTGTAATATAAAAAAGAAAATTGTAATATAAGAAAAGTCCGTCTGTGAGTCGTGTTTTTGATAAAAAGTGATAAAATTACTTAGAAAGGCATGTGTGTTCAGATGAATATTTAATTGTTAAAAGTAAATTACGATATAAGACGATAGAAATTGATAACTTTTTTATATGAGTTGAAATATGAAAAATAGAAATTTTCGACAGAAATGAAATAAGTTCAAATAAAGCTATATATTAGTATCAGTTGGTATCAATTGATATATTGATATTTCAATGAAATTTGTCTATATTTCTATAAATTCTTATCAAATTTTCTCTTTAAGCAGAATTACCGATCCCGTAACAATGTTCCAACATCTGCGAGTAGACGGTCGTTAATATGAGATGGCATCGACAATTGGCGAAATCGACGTCGGAGAAGGTCTTCATCGGCTTTCTGCTCGCTTTGCGAAAGATGTCCGTGCACCTCGTTGCTCTTTCCTCGTTTGCCAGTTGTAAATAACCTGACATGATATTATTCTCTCGCGCTATCAGAAAGTAACTGTAATTTCAATAATAAATTCGCACAAACCCATACATACTTAACGAAACGTTCTTTTCTTCCTCTTCGAGGATAGAGTTCATTCCGCCGAATTGTTGCGCATTCAAAAGTCGATCGACAGTCGGTCTTCTCCTTTTCACTTCTTGTGTAGCTATTTCGCCTAATAACTTGATGAATTTCAATTCGCCACACGTCAAGCATCTCCGGCTGTGTTGCCGTAGATACTTCAGTGCCTTGCTGTGTAATTCCATCTTCTGGTGCTCCGTCAAAAGTCTTCGCGTGTGCAAGTAATATGTCGATATTTGTATTAATGCTTCAATTATCCAGCTCAGTAGAATTTAATGCAATATTAAATAACAAATATTCATTCATATTAAATAATAAATAATAATGAATAATAAATAATAAAATAAGTAAAAATAATAGTAAATAATAAATAATAATAAGTATTAAGTAATAAAATAACTAATTTAATATTAAATAATATAACTGTTATATATTATATAAAATAATATATTATGTGTAAAGATAATATAATTCGAGAATTTTATATTGAATTCGTTCTTAAACTCGATTATTTCATGCAAATTTTTCCTCTTCAATAAATATATTTACAAGTCTATGTACCTTCAATCAAAGGATTGCAAATAATTAATTATTTTCTTTATTAATTATTGTATTTCATTGATGATCAGAGTATGAATCAAGTCAATTGAATACTGTTTATTGACATTGATTTCAACAAATTTAATTGAAGATTGTTCAACTAACGAATGATTTCAATGAATTCAAAACTATAGTTTTAAACCAATTTTTCCTAACGTGAGTCGGATGTAATTTAGGATAAATTGCTTAGCAAAAATAAATTTTTACCTGTAAGTAGTTTCACGGAACATTGATATCTTGAAGCGCATCAGACCACAAGAAGCATATCGCGGCAAATCGGTGAGTTCGTCTAGACAAAAACTTTTTCTTTCATTATGAAAATTTTTAACATATTTTTCCAATTGCAAAATACGCTTTGCATATTCGCCTGAGAGAAACAAGTCCACCCCAATTTTCTGTTGTCTTGTTAATAAACTCTGTGTAAATAATAATTTTAGGATAGTTCTTGTTCACCAAAACGCAATTCCAATTTTGAGATTAAATTTCGTTATATTTTAAATTTTCATGTAATTCTTCTAGTGCGCTGAACGCGTTTCTCCCTGCAGATCTTCGTAATAATCACGCACATATTCACAATAAATTCTATAAGTAGGTGCCGATTAGTTAATCTTTAAGAATTTAATGATATAGGGGCATATTTTTCAAATCTCCCAATGATACACATACAGAAAAATATCATTCTACTGGAAAGAAAAACGATAATTCAGTTTTCTTCCCTTCTTTAAGTAACGATTATCTTCAACAAAAAATGTTTAAAAAATAGTCGTAAAACTCATCATAAGTTTTAAAACGGCTCATTTTATCATACGCTTAAAAAAAGAATTTATGCTCTTCATAAAAATATAAAACTTTATTGAAGAAAAAATTAGTTTGACTCTATGCAGTAAGCAAAACTGTTTTACCGAATTTTTGTTTTAATTTAATATTTTGTATTGAAATTCCAAACTTACCAGGATTCAAAATATATTGAAAATAAATTTAATGCTTATGATGAACTTATGACAGATTTGTGGATGTACAAACTTATGAAATAAGCAACTTGTAGTAAATAACATTTACTTGAATGCACTATGTATTTTTCTGTATAAATTAAATACAAAAATATAGACTTTTAAAAAAAGGTATGCTAAGTTCTCGAAGCGCACTTAATCAGTAAAATCAACTATTTCTTTAAAACTATTGTTATATATGATATAGAACTCTAGAACTATTGTAAAACAAACCGGAACTCTAAAGAAATAGTTAATTTAAATAGTTTTTTTGATTAGGTGCGCTGCGAGAACTTAGCGCACCTTTTTTTGAAAGTGTGTTTTTTTGTATTTAATGAACGGAACTATTGAAAATTGTTGCAAAGAGCTCTAGAACTTTTCAAGAG